GAAACCGGCTGGAGAATATGCTCAGCTCAATTACAGAACACCTCGAACAAGAATCAGTTCAAACGGAGTTCAACCGAAGGAGTTATTCAATTTACAAGACGGGTCATTTCCGGTTTACTTGATTCGGACATGTGTGCATTCAATGAAGGATTCTGACCAGGCCATAATGAATTAAGCTACAAACCGACTCATTCTACAATCTTGATCCATCAGAGAAGCCCATGAAGTTTGATTCAGCCCAAAAGACATCAAGGAAGGTCAAGTTTCGTCCTCAGCAAGAGACTGCAATAATGAAGACATATTTCTCTCTCCTACATGCAGTTTAGAGTTGTAATTCATTTTCCAAGAAGCTCTGCATGTTAGGCTATTAACTAGGACGAAAATACTTGTAATTTCTCTATATATAGAGACTGCAAATCATGAATAAAATTATCCAAGTTTTTATTATCAAACCCGTTTCAAACTCTTGGATCACTTCTCTATGGTGTCAAATCTATGGAGAACCCTATTCACTCTTGGTGTGTAATATCCAATGAGTCTATAGCGAGCCCTGTTCACTCCTGGTGTGTAATATCTAGCGAGTCTTCAGGTTGGTGTTTTAGAGATCTTTCCGCAATCTCTGAATCAAACCATTCAACCATTCCACTCCTTCCATCATCACGGCTTCTAGCCAAATCTATCCAACCTCAACTCTAGAGTGCCCCATCCTTGGGAAGATCACATCATTTGGTATCAGAGCCACTCTGGAGTTTGGTTTTCGTTCTTTATCATCCTTCTCATCTATTCATCTTCTTTTAGGTTATATTCAAATAAGGGCAAGATTTGAGGGCAAATCTTTTTCAAGAAAGGGAGAATGATATGATTATGGGCAGAAACAAGGAAGGACGTGTGTTCACTGTTCGAATCTTATCTTCACAACCACGACGATTACACACATGAAACCGGCTGGAGAATATGCTCAGCTCAATTACAGAACACCTCGAACAAGAATCAGTTCAAACGGAGTTCAACCGAAGGAGTTATTCAATTTACAAGACGGGTCATTTCCGGTTTACTTGATTCGGACATGTGTGCATTCAATGAAGGATTCTGACCAGGCCATAATGAATTAAGCTACAAACCGACTCATTCTACAATCTTGATCCATCAGAGAAGCCCATGAAGTTTGATTCAGCCCAAAAGACATCAAGGAAGGTCAAGTTTCGTCCTCAGCAAGAGACTGCAATAATGAAGACATATTTCTCTCTCCTACATGCAGTTTAGAGTTGTAATTCATTTTCCAAGAAGCTCTGCATGTTAGGCTATTAACTAGGACGAAAATACTTGTAATTTCTCTATATATAGAGACTGCAAATCATGAATAAAATTATCCAAGTTTTTATTATCAAACCCGTTTCAAACTCTTGGATCACTTCTCTATGGTGTCAAATCTATGGAGAACCCTATTCACTCTTGGTGTGTAATATCCAATGAGTCTATAGCGAGCCCTGTTCACTCCTGGTGTGTAATATCTAGCGAGTCTTCAGGTTGGTGTTTTAGAGATCTTTCCGCAATCTCTGAATCAAACCATTCAACCATTCCACTCCTTCCATCATCACGACTTCTAGCCAAATCTATCCAACCTCAACTCTAGAGTGCCCCATCCTTGGGAAGATCACATCATTTGGTATCAGAGCCACTCTGGAGTTTGGTTTTCGTTCTTTATCATCCTTCTCATCTATTCATCTTCTTTTAGGTTATATTCAAATAAGGGCAAGATTTGAGGGCAAATCTTTTTCAAGAAAGGGAGAATGATATGATTATGGGCAGAAACAAGGAAGGACGTGTGTTCACTGTTCGAATCTTATCTTCACAACCACGACGATTACACACATGAAACCGGCTGGAGAATATGCTCAGCTCAATTACAGAACACCTCGAACAAGAATCAGTTCAAACGGAGTTCAACCGAAGGAGTTATTCAATTTACAAGACGGGTCATTTCCGGTTTACTTGATTCGGACATGTGTGCATTCAATGAAGGATTCTGACCAGGCCATAATGAATTAAGCTACAAACCGACTCATTCTACAATCTTGATCCATCAGAGAAGCCCATGAAGTTTGATTCAGCCCAAAAGACATCAAGGAAGGTCAAGTTTCGTCCTCAGCAAGAGACTGCAATAATGAAGACATATTTCTCTCTCCTACATGCAGTTTAGAGTTGTAATTCATTTTCCAAGAAGCTCTGCATGTTAGGCTATTAACTAGGACGAAAATACTTGTAATTTCTCTATATATAGAGACTGCAAATCATGAATAAAATTATCCAAGTTTTTATTATCAAACCCGTTTCAAACTCTTGGATCACTTCTCTATGGTGTCAAATCTATGGAGAACCCTATTCACTCTTGGTGTGTAATATCCAATGAGTCTATAGCGAGCCCTGTTCACTCCTGGTGTGTAATATCTAGCGAGTCTTCAGGTTGGTGTTTTAGAGATCTTTCCGCAATCTCTGAATCAAACCATTCAACCATTCCACTCCTTCCATCATCACGGCTTCTAGCCAAATCTATCCAACCTCAACTCTAGAGTGCCCCATCCTTGGGAAGATCACATCATTTGGTATCAGAGCCACTCTGGAGTTTGGTTTTCGTTCTTTATCATCCTTCTCATCTATTCATCTTCTTTTAGGTTATATTCAAATAAGGGCAAGATTTGAGGGCAAATCTTTTTCAAGAAAGGGAGAATGATATGATTATGGGCAGAAACAAGGAAGGACGTGTGTTCACTGTTCGAATCTTATCTTCACAACCACGACGATTACACACATGAAACCGGCTGGAGAATATGCTCAGCTCAATTACAGAACACCTCGAACAAGAATCAGTTCAAACGGAGTTCAACCGAAGGAGTTATTCAATTTACAAGACGGGTCATTTCCGGTTTACTTGATTCGGACATGTGTGCATTCAATGAAGGATTCTGACCAGGCCATAATGAATTAAGCTACAAACCGACTCATTCTACAATCTTGATCCATCAGAGAAGCCCATGAAGTTTGATTCAGCCCAAAAGACATCAAGGAAGGTCAAGTTTCGTCCTCAGCAAGAGACTGCAATAATGAAGACATATTTCTCTCTCCTACATGCAGTTTAGAGTTGTAATTCATTTTCCAAGAAGCTCTGCATGTTAGGCTATTAACTAGGACGAAAATACTTGTAATTTCTCTATATATAGAGACTGCAAATCATGAATAAAATTATCCAAGTTTTTATTATCAAACCCGTTTCAAACTCTTGGATCACTTCTCTATGGTGTCAAATCTATGGAGAACCCTATTCACTCTTGGTGTGTAATATCCAATGAGTCTATAGCGAGCCCTGTTCACTCCTGGTGTGTAATATCTAGCGAGTCTTCAGGTTGGTGTTTTAGAGATCTTTCCGCAATCTCTGAATCAAACCATTCAACCATTCCACTCCTTCCATCATCACGGCTTCTAGCCAAATCTATCCAACCTCAACTCTAGAGTGCCCCATCCTTGGGAAGATCACATCATTTGGTATCAGAGCCACTCTGGAGTTTGGTTTTCGTTCTTTATCATCCTTCTCATCTATTCATCTTCTTTTAGGTTATATTCAAATAAGGGCAAGATTTGAGGGCAAATCTTTTTCAAGAAAGGGAGAATGATATGATTATGGGCAGAAACAAGGAAGGACGTGTGTTCACTGTTCGAATCTTATCTTCACAACCACGACGATTACACACATGAAACCGGCTGGAGAATATGCTCAGCTCAATTACAGAACACCTCGAACAAGAATCAGTTCAAACGGAGTTCAACCGAAGGAGTTATTCAATTTACAAGACGGGTCATTTCCGGTTTACTTGATTCGGACATGTGTGCATTCAATGAAGGATTCTGACCAGGCCATAATGAATTAAGCTACAAACCGACTCATTCTACAATCTTGATCCATCAGAGAAGCCCATGAAGTTTGATTCAGCCCAAAAGACATCAAGGAAGGTCAAGTTTCGTCCTCAGCAAGAGACTGCAATAATGAAGACATATTTCTCTCTCCTACATGCAGTTTAGAGTTGTAATTCATTTTCCAAGAAGCTCTGCATGTTAGGCTATTAACTAGGACGAAAATACTTGTAATTTCTCTATATATAGAGACTGCAAATCATGAATAAAATTATCCAAGTTTTTATTATCAAACCCGTTTCAAACTCTTGGATCACTTCTCTATGGTGTCAAATCTATGGAGAACCCTATTCACTCTTGGTGTGTAATATCCAATGAGTCTATAGCGAGCCCTGTTCACTCCTGGTGTGTAATATCTAGCGAGTCTTCAGGTTGGTGTTTTAGAGATCTTTCCGCAATCTCTGAATCAAACCATTCAACCATTCCACTCCTTCCATCATCACGACTTCTAGCCAAATCTATCCAACCTCAACTCTAGAGTGCCCCATCCTTGGGAAGATCACATCATTTGGTATCAGAGCCACTCTGGAGTTTGGTTTTCGTTCTTTATCATCCTTCTCATCTATTCATCTTCTTTTAGGTTATATTCAAATAAGGGCAAGATTTGAGGGCAAATCTTTTTCAAGAAAGGGAGAATGATATGATTATGGGCAGAAACAAGGAAGGACGTGTGTTCACTGTTCGAATCTTATCTTCACAACCACGACGATTACACACATGAAACCGGCTGGAGAATATGCTCAGCTCAATTACAGAACACCTCGAACAAGAATCAGTTCAAACGGAGTTCAACCGAAGGAGTTATTCAATTTACAAGACGGGTCATTTCCGGTTTACTTGATTCGGACATGTGTGCATTCAATGAAGGATTCTGACCAGGCCATAATGAATTAAGCTACAAACCGACTCATTCTACAATCTTGATCCATCAGAGAAGCCCATGAAGTTTGATTCAGCCCAAAAGACATCAAGGAAGGTCAAGTTTCGTCCTCAGCAAGAGACTGCAATAATGAAGACATATTTCTCTCTCCTACATGGAGTTTACGCCCAAGCAGCTTGCCAAACAAGCAAGGAGTAAGACTAAGGCCCCTACACCAAAACCGCCCAAGGGATCAACCAAGATTGAAGATGAGGCCAAGCCAAGAAGAAGGTTAGAAAGCCTAGGTCTGGCCGCAACATGAAGCTTCTATTCCCAGAGGAGCTTATTGATGAGAATCTAGAAGGATTCAAGGAGAAAGTTACAAGAACTCTAAAGCTTTTTCCTAAGGCATTGTGCCAAGGGACATTCATGGAGAGATTGTCTATCCAGCTGTGAATCACCCACCAGATACTCATTGCAAGGAGAAAAGACTTGGAGGATCAAAGATGCCTCTTGTCTCTATCTTCTCCTGAGTGCCAAGCCTTACAGTCAAGCTAAAGACTTAAAACAAGCGCTGCATGGGAGGCAACCCATGAGGTACTTTTACTTTTCTTTCTTTAATTTTCTTAGTTTTTGTTTTGCTTTTGTGTTTTCTTTGTTTTAAGATAGGATAGAAGGAGAAAAAGGTGTGAAAACACAATCCGCGCCAAACCATTGGCCGCGGACGCGCAAAAATTTTGGCCGAGCAATTTCCAACCGGCCGACCGTTACGGTCGAGCCGGGAAGGAATGGCTTGTGCTCGGCCGGATCGTTTCTATTGCGCGACAGAAACTCCGCGCGACACGCACGAACCGGGAAGGAATAGGCCGCGATCGGCCGAATTTTCGTATCGGAACGGACCGACCGTGCCGGTCGATCCGGGAAACAACGATCGGCCTCGGCCGAAATCTCTCGCCAAACAAATTTGGCCGACCAAATCGCTCGACCGCGACAAAATCCATCGGCCATCGGCCATCAAAATTTTCTCGGCCAAGGTAAGTCCCCTTTTCATTAATTCAAACCGGTTTTAACCAATCCTAAACCAACTTAAACCGGTTTTCAATCAAAATTCGAATTTGAAAAGGAAATTATAGGATCTTGACTTATACTTTACCTTTCCCTTGAAAACAACAAGAACCTCTCTTTCTTCTCCAAAACCCTAAACTCCATTAGAGGAACTCTAAGAGCTTTGATTTCAAAACTTTTACTGTTCATAACTCTAAATTGGAATTTACTTGCTCTTGCAACCCTTATTCACTTTTCAACACACAAGGTATGTCTTCTAACTCTAATCCCATGTTTATGCAAGATCGAAATTCTCAATAAGTTTCTTGTTAAACTCTTGTCTAAACTTGAAATTACCATTCTTATGAGTCTTGTAATGAACTTAGCTAGGTGGAACCTAGGTGGTTTAGAGTTAATTTGAAGTTTAATTTCACAATTGAATAGTTTTTCACAAAACTTATTGGGCATTCCAAACCCCTTATTCAAAGGTGAAATTGCTTGGCATACTTCAATTCATTAGTTTATCTAGTGATTACTTGGATTAGAAACTCAATTTCTCTTGATTTGCTAAAAATTTCGATTTTAAGCACCATAATCTTGAGATGAACAGTAAAATCCGAAAATTAACTTTGAAAAAGTGAAATTTCCATTTTGTTTCTTTGATTCATGATTAAGCCTTGAGTTGTTCCATTATTCCATATCATTATTACAACTCAATTAGCTTATTCTTCTTTTGCATTAATCACAAACTCATATTTCTTCCCAAGAATTTGCTCTTGTAGGTACCCAATGGCAAAGACAAAAGGAAATGAGAGTATGAAGAAGAAGAAGAACCCATTCATGGAACCACCAAAGAAACAAATCAAGCTAGGGAGTAGTAGCTCCAATGCAAGAGCAGCAATACCAACTTCACCACATTCCATTGATGCAAGTCAAGAACATGTGGAGAGTCCAACAAGAGGAGAAGATGATTGGGCACTTGTAAGCTTTGTTGGAGAACAAATCCAAGACCCAAGAAAGTGCAAGAAGGCAATGGAGAAGGTGAACATCGAACCTTGTGTGAAGATGGACACCCAAACCCTTGACCTTCTCAAGATAAGAGATGATGTCACATGGTACATAAGGAAGCTAGGCTTGAGCAAGCTCTTCAAGCTAGAGTGTAGTGAGTACTCACTACTCACCAAGGAGTTCCTCTCCACAGTAGCTCTTGCCTTTCCCAACCACAATGGAGACCAACCAGCTGGTGATGGACTCCTACTCTTCAAGATAGGCGATGCCAATGGGCGCATCTCCATCTCAGCTCTATGCCAACTCTTTGGACTTCCCAATGAGACAGCACATGACTTCAAGGAGAACTCAAAGAGGAAACAAGCTGCCTTTGCTGATTGGACACACTTTGCCAATGAACCATTCTTGCCTTCAAGATCAAAGGTGTCTAGAATCACTCATCCAGCCATTCGCTATGTGCACCGCCTCATCTCCACCACTTTCCAATGCAAACAAGAAGCCAACAAGGTCACAACTGATGAGTTCTACATCCTCACCACACCATTCATCAAGCATGAGTACAAGGCCAACCTTGGTCTTTTACTTGCCAAGACATTTATCAATGTGAGGAAGCTAGCTAAAGACTTGGAAGGCAACAAGAAGCTTTGTGTTCGTTTTGGGAGGCTTATCACGGCCATAGTACACATGTGGGGATTGACATTCCCAACTATGAGCCACTACCCAAGCCAACCCCTTTGGATCTCTTCAGCATATCCACTTCCTAAACCGTTGGACTAAAACCCAACTCGGTTTTGCTATGAGTTTCCAATTGGTCCAGCCAACACTTCCCTTGTCTTGCTGCCACATGAAGACATCCCAAGCCTACGCTCAGGAGTTGTCACTTTCCAGCCCAATGAGGAAGATTCTATGTTCCATCAAGTGAGAAACCATCATTCCCCATGCTCACATATCGCACACTTCAGCATCGCAGTTCAGCATGCAGTCAAGACTCAACGCCGCCACCAAGAACGCCATGTTCTCACTACTGGCATGGCCGCGCATCAAGCTCTAGACCGTGTTAACAAGCTGGAGAAGATCGTGGAGTGCCAATCTCGCTTCATCTCACGCCTAGTCCGTGTAGTTCGCCACATTGCACCGGAGAGACTCTTTCGCCCTTCTTCCACCGCTAGAGAGCCATATGAGCCTGACCTTGGTGAGTTCTCACTAGACTCAGAGCTTGGTTCAGAAGGCGATGACCCCATAGATGAGGAAGAGAGTTCTTCTCACTGCCACACATAGTCATCTCAAGTGGTACTTAGTGCAATGGACACTTACAAATCTCCATTTTCTATCCCTATCTCATTTTAATGAATTTTTCTTTATTTTTCTTTTACTTTGAATATTACCTCTCACCTTAATGTGATTTGCTTTCACCGGGACGGTGCAAGTTAAGTCTGGGGGGAGTTTTATTGTGTTACTAATGCATTTTTCTTTCTTTTCTTATGTTTTATTACTTTGTTTCATGTTTTTCAAAAAGTTTTATTGAGTCAAAAACCAGTCCGGAAGTTATGAACTTGCTTTGAGAATTGAGAGTGTTGTGCTAACAATCCATGACCCTAGAGCAGAAACCAGCTAAAGGCACAAGCCTAACAGAAGCTCTTACAGTGGATCGACATGCTAGCTCAGCAAAATTTCTAAGGTAACCAAGCAATCTAGAGTTAACCTCACCCTTAATCAATCTTAATACTCTTGTCAAGGGGGTTGGCATACATGTCGACAGTTCCTTGCTTGATTTTCAATAAGATTTGTCTAATCTTTAAAGAGTTCTCCTCTCTCTCCCATCCCAAATGGTAAGTGTATTATGAGAAAAAGCTCAAAGAGCACAAGGAAAACAAGTAAGCATGAGGAATGCATATGTCTGTACCTTCATGTCTTATGGAATACCTTAGTCAAACAAGGAACAAGCTAAAGACTTATCCTGTGGTTGAAAGAAGGGTCAATAGAAAAAATAAAATGATACCCTAGAAAAGTAGGGAGAAATTGACCTTTCAAAGTTCTGATGTGAGAAAGAGAGAGGAAAAGAACTCATTGCACTTAAAGAGGCAATCTTGGAGAGGATCAAGTGGGTAAGAACAAGTTCAATTGATCGATGTCCCCTTGATAAAGAATTCACGCTTTAAATTTATGCAAGAGGTTAGCAATAGAGAGTTTGGATTGCTGGATGAGACTAGTTGGGTTGGTATTGTTCGCTAAACTTGCAGGGTGTATGTGAAGCTAACCTTATGTTGTCTATGTTCATAGTGGAATACAGGAAAGGAACCTTTCACAGGATATTCAAAAGAGCAAGGGAGTTTCCACGTTTTCAAACCTCTTTCACGGATTTAGATTCTTTTTGCTTGAGGACAAGCAAAGATCTAAGTCTGGGGGAGTTGATATACCTCTAATTTACCCACTTTTTATACTGTTTTAGCATTGTTTTCTAATGGTTTTTGGCAGGTTTTCTATCTAAAAAGGTAGTTTTACTGTGTTTATAGTGTCTAGAGTCTAAACAGGTGAAATGATGCATTTTGGAGCAAAACCATAGGATTTGCACTTCAAGCAGCTCCATGCACAAGCACCAACTTTAAGAGGGCCCAGAAAAAGATCTACTCAATGGATTTCATCAAGACCAGTTCCCTGCGTGCTCTGATTGAGTTAACTTTCCAACGCAACTGGAACGGCCTATTTGGATGAGTAGAAAAGGAGTTATAACCAAAAGAGTGAAGACTGTCCAGACGGCTCTATCGAGAATCAGCGCCCAACCGCGCAGTCCGGCTGGCCGAGGAACGAACGTTCCGCTCGGCCAAAGTCATATCCGTCCGTCTGAAGTCTCGGCCAAAGTTCCAAACCACCGGCCGATCACATCACGACCCGGGAAACATGCCCGCGGTCGGCCAAGCACAACCGCCACGCCACGCCGCGCACGACCATGCCGCGCGAGCCGGGAGAACGCCTCGCGGCCGCGCAACTTCTCGCGTACCACGCATGAACGCGCCGTCCGAGCCGGGAAACTACGTCCCGCGTCCGGCCGAGATTTCATCGGCCAAGTCTTCACCCGTCCGACCACAGCCGACCACGCATCCGTCCGACCGTCCAGTCCGACCACGCCGACCTCCGTCCGGCCACGACCGTTCCGATCGTACTAGCGGCCATGACCCGATTCCGGCCGATCGTCCCGACCGACCGTCCCAACGCCGCGGTCGACCCGAAGCCCGTTTTGAAGCCCGATTTCATATTTTCAAGCCCGGCTTAACCCTAAGCCGCCTCTAGAAGACCTAGCACTATATATATAGATTTTTAGCCTCTTGTGAAAAGAGAGCCGCCCTTGTATTTCGATTTCCTACTCTAAGTTTTATTGCAATCATGTTTTCTTCATCTCTATGTGTGTTTGCTTTGATCATGTCTGAGTAATCCACTAGTTAGGTTGCTAGGGTTACTATTCAATGAGTTGCTTGCATGATCTTTGATTTCAATGATTAGCTAGGGATTATATTAGAGTCTTTGTCTCGTCTTGTGCACTTAACTAATGCTGATTGCTTTACCGCGCATCTAGTAATCCGATCTTAGGTTGATTTGAGCCTCGACAGTGCTGTATCATTCGCCGGACATATTCTTTGACAAGCTAGGTTTCTTAGACTGCGAAAGTTGATCTATCTATATCTAGTGAACTGTATCAGAACCTATTCATTCTAAAGCTTGATCTAATCACCTAGGGACATACCAAAAGTTTAGCGACTAGGTAGATTAGCAAAGGAGCCGGAGCCTCGAAAGTGGAATGGTTTTATATTCGTGATCTGTGTTCTAGATGGTTCTTAATATCCCAATATCCCTAATCAATTATCTATCATTGTTTCATTGATCATTGCTTGCTTCTCTGCGATAGCCCCTATGACCTAGCGCTTTTCCTTTATTGTTTACAACCTCGTTATACTTGCTAGTTCGGTTCACCATTACAACCTCAATCATACTTTTGTTTTAGCTTGATCCAAAATCCATAGTTCAAAGTGTACTCAATAGCCAGTCCTTGTGTTCGATACCCATACTTCCGCGATCTGTGCACTTGCAGAGGTCTAGGAGTTTGGTAAAACCTGACTCCACATCATTTAGATTGCCTCAAATTTTCACAATTTATAAACCCAACTAATGAGCTGCAAGTGCACAGCCGTGTTGTAGTCGGGGTCGAACACGAGGAGGAAGTGTTCTCGCTTAACACCTTGTGAGATTGGTTTGTAGCTAGCTCGCAATATGAGATGGTTTTGGACCTAGAATGAGAAAGAAAACAAAAGAAATGTGAGTGAGGTTGTAAACAATTTAAAACAAGAGTTAGGCAAAGGACAATCATATGGAGCAATGATGAAAAGATAGTTGCATGGGATGTGTGTAGAGCCGTCTTGAACATGAATCACTAGTGTATGGTCTTTCCACTGTCGTGGCTCCAACCACTATGTTTAAAACAACCTAATATACTCAGCTTTCGTTGGCTATTAGAATTGCAAACATGCATTAAAGGTGATCAAGATTCAATTGTTCACAATAAACCATAACTCAGCTTTCGTTGGCTATGATCTATTGCTCACCAAATACTAGTTTTGAGATCTAGATTCAGCACTGTCGTGGTTCTATTTCTCTAAGATCAGATTACTAGATGTACGGTAGAGTAATCATGCATTAAGCTCAAGTAAAGGTGAAGATCCATAAGATAAATCCCAATAAGTTGCAACACAATCAAATCATCACGGCCACCATAGATCTCCTCGGCCTAACTAAGAGATCTACTCGGCCATGATGCAAACAAGCAAGCAAAGCATGATTGTAAACATTATGCAAGTATTAAAAGAGATAAAGGGATGAAGAAAGCTTCTCTATTGATGAACAAAGTCGGATTCTCCCTTGAAAACTCTTAAGATCAAGTTTATAGAAATGGAAACAATGAAAAAGAAAGAACAAGAGTTGAGCGGCGCCTCCTTCTTCTTGGACGATCTCCTAGGGCTTCTCTTCTCTGACTCTCTTCTCACACGTACACTCTTTGATAATTTTGGACTCTCTTCTTCAGCGGCTAAAAACATGTATATATGGGCGAAGTCGCGTAGGGTTTTCTTCATGCCGGAAAAGGAAAGTTTCCCATGCAAAGCCTTCTTCTCCACGTCGTGTATGGGCCGACATTGTACCAAGGAAAGCTCCAAACATTAGCCAGGCCTCTTCTCTATTCGATCAAGGCCTTTGGCGCTGCTGCTCGGGCCATTAGACACTCCAAATCCTCCATGGGCTTCGTTTACTCGCTTACCGGACATGTCTCGGTAGAAAATAAGTCTAGGCCTCATAGTTGATCCAAATGGCTTCATTCCACTTCGACGTGATGCATGACTCAAGTATCTATCTTTCCATATCAAGATCGTAACTTTTGGACGTCGGGAACTCCTCCGCGCGCGGCCAAACTTCCGAAGCTTCGTTCTGCGCGCTAGCGAGAACTAACACTTGGAGATAAAATGATCTTCTTGACTTGGAAACTTGCATGGATCTTGATTTAGGCTCTTTTACTCCTTTTTGCATCCTTTTTGATATTTCACCTACAAAGACTTCAAATCCCACAAATACAAGAAAACTACCTCTAAAGGCAAAGAATCTTGCAAAAACCGTTTGAAAACATAGTATTATATAGTAAAATCATGTAAAATATGGTGATATCAACTCCCCCAGACTTAGCCTTTTGCTTGTCCCCAAGCAAACTAAGCAGGAAAAGAGGTTTGAAAACGTGAGAACTCTCAAATCTTTTGGAAATCCAAATTGACTTATGCTTTAGTAATCCACATGAAACAGCATTGGCAAAGTTTTGAATTAAGAACAAAGTACATACCATGAGTTTTGCGATTTTCCCAAAGCGGTCCACCTCTCCTTGGACAATCCAATTCGCCACCCTTGACTCCTTTCATTTCTAAAGGTGTGGTCTCAACTAGGGAGTATCGATCAGCCGGCTTTTAGACTCTTTCTCATCCCCTTGTTTGGCACTTGTCTTTTACTCCATGTTTCTCCTCTCTCTCTTCTCACTTCTTGAGTTGATTCATCCCTTTTTTAGGGTAGCGAAGTATTTTTTTATTCAACTCCTTCTCTTTATTATAGAGGTTTTGCTTGGATCTTCCACAGACGCGAGTATTGATGGTGTTTGCCACCGAATCCCCGGTTGCTTGGATTCATAGGCCTTCCATAGACGCGAGTATTGATGGTGTTTGCCACCGAATCCCCGGTTACTTGGACCTTACGCTTTTTCTTTAAATTTGAAGGGGAGAGAGAGGGAAGCACGAACTCACTAAGACTTTTTCATTTGATGGAGAGGATGAGGAATCATGCCATTTGTATGCCAAGCCCCTAGCTGAGAAGATTAAGTTCATTAAGGGCGGAGTCAAAGATGGATCCTTCTCAAGTCTTTAGAGATGTAGGCGTTTTTGGTAGATCGATCAACTCATAGTGCACCTGTGGTAAGATGTATTGCCAAGAACTGCTCAATGGTCACTTAAACATTAGTACAATCATGGTTAGATCCAAGATAAGGTCATGATTCTCGACAAAAATTTTGACTCAATAAAAACGACTCGATAAAAGGGAAAAATGCAAATGAAAATGCCAAAATGAACAAACATTGTTAGTAATCCCCCCAGACTTAACTTGCACCGTCCCGGTGAAATCAAATCGGATTAAGAGAGGCATAACATGAAGTTCAAATGAAAAATTGAAAAGAAAAAGGTTTAGGATGATGTTACCAAATGTCGACCAATTTATAATGAAGATCAGTTCCGGTTTGGGTCATTCTACACTTCTTTAGGCAATATTGGTCGGTGAGTTTTTAATTTCAGGCCTTGGTTTCCGCCGGTTTGTGTTTTGGCCGAGATTGGTATATTCGGTCGGCCAAAATGTGGTGCTGTGAACTACAGAACAAACCGTCAAAAATTTCATGACCTATATTGAAATTTCATCGACCAACCTGGTATTTTATGGCCTCTGGTGAAGTTTGGGAGCATTTGTACGAGGGATTGAGACTTCCTTCACAAAATGGTCAAGTCGGCTCCGGGAAGGAGTTTCCTTGGCCATGTGAAGTTTGGCTCGTTCCTTTTCGTTTCTTCCTGCATAAAAGTGTTAGTTAAGCTCAAGGAAGAGTTTTCCAACCGGTTGGCGCGCCTATGCCGTGATTTGGTTTTGTCGGCCATATTGCTTGCGCGCCATCGGCCAGAATGAGCTCCGTCGTCTATCTCATGATCCGTGATGATTTCTCCGTCCTATCTTTTGGATTTGCCGACCAAATGTGATTTTATGGTCGCCTGTGAAGTTTGGTGGACTTCGGTCACGCCGTTTAGGAGTTGGCCGAGTTGGTTCTCCTTGTATGCGTCATGGCCGAGAGAAATGTCCGGATTGAATTTCTTCAAATCCACTTGGGCCAATTGAGATTTTCTTCGACCGAATTGTTTTAATAACCCTCCTGTGTCATTCCCAAGTGGTGGCCGCCTTGTTTCGTGTGATGGCCTTGTATCTCCTTTTTAACCCCCTTTGGCCGCCATATGTTGGTTTTAGGTGGTTGATAGGTTTGCTCTATTTCTCCTTCCTGTCAAATGTTAACTCCTTGCAAAACACTTGAAATCATGATTAGATGGTTTCTTGGATTGAGATCCTCAAGTGACCAACTTGAAGTTCACAATCCAAGAGA